CAGCGCGGGGACGCTCCCGACGCCCCGAGAGTGGCGTGACGGGCTCCTCGTGACGCCCGTGTCCCCACAGGGGTCCCTGCCACACCAGTTGTCACACGGCTGCTGTCCCCAGGGCACGGTGTGTCCGTGGGGTGTCCCTGGGGTGTCCCTGGGGTGTCTCTGGGGTGTCCCTGGGGTGTCCGTGCTCTCTGTCACGCTCACACCAAGGGTGACTTTCCGTGTGTCCCACGACATCCCTGTCCCGAGCAGTTTCCTGCCAAGCACCGTGTGGGGTCCCCGTGATGTCCCTTCCTGTGTCCCGTGTCCCTTCCTGTGTCCCTCTCGTGTCCCTGGGGTCCTCCTGTGACCCCCGTGTCCCTCCCGTGTCCCTGGGGTCCTCCTGTGACCCCCGTGTCCTTCCCGTGTCCCTGGGGTCCCTGTGACCCCCAGGTCCGTTCCAGTGGCCAGGGAAGTTCCCAGTGATCCCCAAATCTCTCCCCGCGTGTCTGGGCTGCCCGTGACCCCCTTGTCCGGTGTCCCTACGATCCAAACCGTCCCCTCGCCTCTGTCCCCTCCGTCCCATTCCCGTGCCGGCTCCTGGCCCAGCTCCCCGTGCCCATCCCATCCTCCCGTTCCCTTCCGGGGGCTCTGACCCTTCTCCCCTCCATCCCCCAGGTGAAGATCTGGTTCCAGAACCGGCGCTCCAAGTTCAAGAAGCTCTACAAGAACGGCGAGGTTCCCCTGGAGCACAGCCCCAACAACAGCGACTCCATGGCCTGCAACTCCCCTCCCTCCCCGGTGTGGGACAGTCCCGGCGGCAGCGCCCGGACCCCGCTGCCGCAGCCGCTGCCCTACAGCTCCTCTCCGGGGTTCCTGGAGGAGCACAACCCCTGGTACCACCCCCAGAGCCTCAGCGGCCCCCACGGACCCCACCAGCCGCAGGCGGCCCCCCCGATGCACCACCCGTCCCCCGGGCCCCCCAGCACGGGCGCCGTGTACTGAGGGTGGCCGGGGGGCTCAGAGACTCTGCACAGCTCCTTGGCCTCCTTTTCTCCCCCCTCAAACCCCCTCCGCCCCCCTTTTGGTTTTGTCTCCTTATTTTTTTCCTAAAATGAAAAAGCAAAAAAAAAAAACTAGAAACAAGCGACGACCAACAAAGCAAAGGAAAGGACCCCCCCGTGCACCCCTAAAAATCCTCTCTCCTCACCCCCCTGCTCATCTCAGGAACCAGAGGACTGCAAAGGCTTCAGACGCTCCCAGCGCAGGAAAAGGCGGAAAATCCAAAAAGGTGGAAGATCCAAAGGTGGAAAATCCAAAGGTGGAAAATCCCAAAAGGTGGAAAATCCAAAGGTGGAAAATCCCAAAAGGTGGAAAATCCAAAAAGGTGGAAGATCCAAAAAGGTGGAAGATCCAAAAAGGTGGAAAATCCAAAAAGGTGGAAAATCCAAAGGTGGAAAATCCAAAGGAGGAAAATCCAAAAAGGTGGAAAATCCAAAGGAGGAAAATCCAAAAAGGTGGAAAATCCAAAAAAGTGGAAAATCCAAAAAGGTGGAAAATCCAAAAAGGTGGAAAATCCAAAAAAGTGGAAAATCCAAAGGTGGAAAATCCAAAGGAGGAAAATCCAAAAAGGTGGAAGATCCAAAAAGGTGGAAAATCCAAAGGTGGAAAATCCAAAGGTGGAAAATCCAAAGGTGGGAAATCCAAAGGTGAAAAATCCAAAGGTGGAAAATCCTTCTGCTCCTCCTTAATTTGTGAAGATTTTTCCATCAGACCCCCCCAGCCCCGCTCAGATAAATCCGGGACCCCCCAAGAGCCTCATCCCGACCCCTCACCGGAGCCTTCCCCGCTGGGGTGACCCCGGGAGTGACCCCGGGAGTGACCCCGGGAGTGACCCCGGGATGGAGGATTTGTGTCGCCGCTGTCGCGACAGGGAGGGGTCTGTCCCCAGCGGCTTTGGGGGGCACGGAGCCCCCCACGGGAGCAAAGCGGGACCCTCATCCCAGCCGGAATCACCCGGGACCATGCTCGGACCAGAAGGTGGTGATTTAAAATTAAATAAAATAAATATTAAAAAAAAAAAAAAAAAAAAAAAATTGGGTGGGGAGGAGGGGGGTGTGGGGAGGGAAATATTTTAATATTTAAGCAGTTCAGGAATGGTTTTAAGTTATTGTTTAAAGAGAAAAACTCGTGTTCATCTCCGTTTTCTGGCTGTGCCTCCAGCTGTGGGTAAAGGAACGGCGAAAATGCCTTTTTTTTAGGAAATCGACGACTTATTTTAAAGGAAAAAAAAAATAACCGAGCTCTTTCCTATTTTTTAAGAGAATAATGCTATTTTTTTAAGCAGAAAGTGCCGTTTTAAGGAGTGTTCATAGTGTTGTACAGTCCCGGGGATTTATTTATGTTGCCTTCTATAAATAGGGGTGTTTTGGGGGGAAAAAAAAAAGGGAGTGTACATAAGGTTCGTTTGTATAAAGTTGTTCCAAACCAAACTGGTTTCGGTCTGGTTTTTTTTTTTTTGTCTATAATTTTTATTTTATTTTATTTTTTTTAAGGAAAACCCCCCCCTGTTGATGGGAACCCCCCTTGGGTGTCCCCGAATGTCCTTTGCTCCTTCCCCAGGGATCCAGAGCCGGGCTGGAAATGTTCAGTAATAAAAATTCTGGTTTTAAAGCTCCAAACACCATTCCCCGCCCCCCCACGGTTTCAGGAGGTTTTTGGGGAGCAGGGTTTGGGTTTTTTCCACCTTGGAAATGTGGATTTAACCCCTCTGTCGGTTATTTTTTGGGGGGACAGCTGGGCTGATTTTTGGGGTGGCACGGGCTGATGTTGGCTCACCCCAAATCCCGCTTTGTCCTGCTCAGAGGGGATTTTGGAGCAGGAAAAGGAAATTTTTCCTGGTTTTCAGAGTATTCCCCAAACGGCCACGGGACCGGAGAACTCCCAGCCCTGCGGAGCGCGAGGGTGGCTGAGTGCCCCAATGTCCCTTTTTGGGGACAACCAGAGGGGGGACAGGACCAACCCCCCCAAAAATCCCCCAATCCCACCGGATCCGCCCATTCCCTGCGGAGCCGGCGCCGTCCCCGGCAGCGCTGGAGGGTTTGGGGCGCTCCGGTGACCCCAAAACCCCCCATCAGTGACATCCCCAGGGCTGGCTGCGGTGGCCCTGTCCTGCTGTCCCCGGGGTCACCCCAAACCCAGCCCCGTTCCCTCGGGGGGGGCTCCCGGCTCTCAGCTGTGTCCCCACGGCCCCCATCCCCAAATCCGGGCAGGAACAGCCTCGCCCCTCGCCCCCAAATCCCCCCTCAAGCTGCGCCCTCAAGCCCCGTTCCCAGCCCCTGGGGAAGAGCAGGAACCGGGGCCGGGAGCCCCGCGGCCTCAGCCGGCGCTGGGGAGGTTTCGTTTCATTCTTGGGCTTTTATTTTTTTTGTTTTGTCTTTTCAAATTTCTTTTTTTTTTTTTGTTTTTCATTTAGAGGAGGAGGAGGAGGAAAAAACCCAGGAAGGGTGCGGGTTACATATCCAGGGATTATGTAAATCCCGGGTGCCGCAGCGCCCCGGGGAATGCGCTCCGGGAAAAGCTTTGGGATCAAGGGGCTCCTGCAGCCCCCCATCCCATCCCATCCCCCAGAGGGTCCCCCCGGGCTCCTGCCCCCCTTT